AGTGAGAGAAGGAACACAAGAGGGGGGAGTGGGAGAGGGAGAAGCAAGCTTCCTGCAGAGCAGGGAGCCCGATGCGGGGCTTGATCCCAGGACCCTGGGATCATGACCTGAGCCGAAGGCAGACACTTAACGACTGAGCCACCCAGGAGCCCCTATTGTGTTTTTAAATATTTTATTTATTTATTTATTTGATAGAGAGAGAGACAGTGAGAGAGGGAACACAAGCAAGGGGAATATGAGAGGGAGAAGCAGGCTTCCCACTGATACGGCTTGATCCCAGGACCCCGGGATCATGACCTGAGCCAAAGGCAGACGCCTAACCAACTGAGCAACCCAGGTGCCCCTCAGTGTTCTTTTGAATCCGTAATTAATTCAAATCATCCCTATAAAAAGTCAAAGGACAAAGTCCACAAGATCATGTTGATAGATCCTAAGGATATTTGAAAAAAATAAACATTTATTTCTGATAATAAGTCTTGGAAAAAATCATTTTTCTCATATCAATCCATAATCATAATTATCAGTGAAATATTAAATCATCCCTAGATTATCTCTTACTTAAATTCCTTTAAAAAATATTGTAGCCTATGTAGTAAGAGAAGAAAAAAGATGTAAATATTAAAAAGCAGTACCAACCATCATTATTTGCAGATGATGTGAATAAAACTAAATTATTGCAATATTAAGTCAAAAGGATATAAAAATAAGTATTTTTAAAATACACATGTAAATGGGCGCCTGGGTGGCTCAGTCGGTTAAGCATCTGCCTTCAGCTCAGGTCATGATCCCAGAGTCTTGGGATCCAGTCCCACATCAGGCTCTTTGCTCAGCAGGGAGCCTGCTTCTCCCTCTGCCTGCTGCTCCCCCTGCTTGTGCTCTTTCTCACTCTCTCTCTCTAACAAATAAATAAATAAAATCTTTAAAAAATATATATATGTAAATGCTAACAATTAGAAGTTAGGAAATAACGGGAAAAATCCCTTTCCTACTATGAATATATGCAATGCTTTCAAACTTTAAGATGCATACAATTCACCTGGGGGTTTTGTTAAAATGCAGATTGAGCAGGTTTGAGGTGGGAATCAAGATTTTATATTTCTAATGAGCTTTCAGGTGCTGCTGATCATGTTTTGAGTAGTAAGGTTTGTATATATATATATATATACACATATATATATGCATACATACATACACATTCACACATATATACATATATATGTATATTCTCATGTATAACTTTCGTGTAAAATATTAAAACTTAAGAATTATTAAGAAATTAGTGAAACCTCTGTTTTTAAAAAGTAGAAAGAAGGTTAAAAAATTACTGGGAGACAAAAAAATATTTGAGTGAAGAGAAATGTCACATCCTTGGATGGGAAGACAATGTTATAAAAATGTCTAACTAAAATTATTCTAATGCTTTTATCTTAACATAATGAAAACCACCAAATGCTGCTCTCTGTAACTTTAAAAGATGAGGCTTATAAAGTTCATCAGGAGAATAAACATGCCAGATAACAAATTTTTTTCACAAAGAGGGCATTAGGCAGTTCTTCTCTTCCAGAAATTAAGATGTATTTTAAAGTGACAATAATTAAAACAATTTGTTCTGTATAGAAACAGACAGATTAAAAGTGTGGGATACAAAGTCCAGCCATGGATCCAACTGTGCATATAAACTTATATATAATGGAAGTGGCATATCAATCACTGAGAGAAAAATAAATTATTTGACAAGTGAATTGAGACACTTCAAATAATCACCAGAATAGACTTATATTCTGGCCTTACAACAACATTATGACCTTAGGACTTAATAAAACAACTGCACATGCATGCATGCACACATATCAAATTATGTGAACTTTAATATAAAAGATAAATTTTAAAACACAAATGCAAATCATAACAAGCATAAGATATATCACAGCTAACAAATTGATAAAGAAAATAAACTCGTATCTATTACAATATTTATTATTTTACGTGATCTCATTCTGTTTGAATAGTGCCAGTCAATTGAATGAGCAATCATGGCTTGTTACTAACACTATCTCCATTCTTCTGACAAAAATTCAATGAGTTCTGTAATTTAGCTATTCTCTTTAACATGACCTTTTTTTTTTTCTTTACCAAAAGCCCTATCAACATAGCTAAATCAGAGTTATTTCCTCTGTGATAAAATCAGACCCGTCAGCACAGAGTTCTTCTCTCTCTGATTATAATTGTAGGGTTGCTGGGACTTTTGTTTGTTTGTTTCTTTTTTCATTCTAGCCCCCATCTGATTGTCCATTTTGGTCCTACACTGCCTCCTACAGCTCCCCAAATGGCATCAAATGATAAATGATTAAGAACTTTTAAAGGCTAAATCATCATTTCCTTTACAAGTTGTATGCACATAAAATACATCTTTAAAAGGGTATGTCATTTTAGAAAGCATCAAATAAATTATTAAATGTGTAAAAACTAGGCTTCGTAATCACCGCTAGCATTTCTTTGCCAAATATCTAATAAGGCATATCATAAGCACACAGTAAATGCTGCAATAATTATGAGAGCCAAAAATAATAAGTTGCCAAATATAATAGCTCATCTCAAATTTCTAAACATTCTTTTATGATTATACCTCCACCTCTCAGAGTAGACTGGGTCCAGGTCTTCTTTGGGTCCCTCAGATAAAGCTGTGACTCGCATGGTACCATGTAGGGTTATATTATGGTTAAAAGACACTATTCCAGTCTAGCAATCATGATTTCTAAGCTCATGTGCTCTACTTGCATTTCTTCAACACCAGAAAGAGGACTTGTAATTACAAGCAATTTTATTCATCTATCCTTTTTTAAAGTCACACTGAAACAGTTCCTAGGTTTACCTCATCAACCCTCACTACCAGTGAAAATCTTCTCCTTCACCTACATTCCAAACTATTTTGATGACTCTTCATTTCCCTCCTCCCTCTTCTACTAAACCTTTCTCTCACTACTCCTCCTGTCCACCACACTCCATCCTTCTCTTCAGTCTTTTGCATTTTTGTCAATAGAACTTGTCTGGGGGAAAAAAAAAAAAAGGACTTGTCTGACAAAGCAAGATTCTTAGAGAACAGCTCAGCAATGCCAGAATACTACATCATGGGCAAAGAGATGTCAAAGGCTAGAAACATCCATGCAGTAAGGATTTTGTCCCATCACATTTGCAGGCACTTAGTAAGATTGCACAAGTGAATGAATGATTACAAAGATAGAGGGAAGAATTAGCTATAATGTGAAAGAAAAATTCTAGTCAGTAAGAAGACCTAAACCCTTGACAGAGTTCTGCTCTTATTCCCTCTGATCTACTTTTACAAAATTACTTTGACAAGGATAAGACATATAAACATACTTTTTTCTGAATTAATATAAAATATTAGTGGTACAGTATTGATATGGAACTCAGGCAATAGTTTTTAAATTTCCAACATTTTAATCAGAAATCACCAAAGGAAATAATGTATATTCTGGGGGGGTTATGTATTCATTTGTACAAATTATTAGTCATAGGGTAACATAAAACTTCACTAACATAGGCCCCTTTAATCAGAAATCATCATGGAAAAAGCCATAGGTGTAATATGAAGTACTGTGGCTAGAGATAGGAAACATAATAAACTTGAAACCTTTCTTCAACTAATTTGTTGTGTATGATTTTAGAAAGGTCCCATAACCTCCTTGGTTTCTGTTAAGTTGTGTTTAAAGTGAGCTAAATTATTCAATCAATCCATCTCATCATCATATAATTCTATGATTCTGCATGGGCCAGAGAGATGTTCCTTTTCTACTTTATTCTTTCTATAAGCAATGGTTCTGGGAATGGAATTATTTTTGTTGGCATGTTTTGTAGTCTGGACATGACTAGGCTTCAGGGATCACATGAATTCCCTAAATTTAGGCAATTATGTTTGAGTGCATTTTTCTGGGCAGAAGTACATAGCTTACATCTGATTCTCAAAAAGCTCTATGAACTTCTCAAAAAAAAGATTAAAAACCACTTACTTCAATAATGAACTAATTCCAAGTGATTCACATTAACTTGTAAAAACAGGCTCACAAGAAGTTTGCTTCATAATATTGTATTGGTTCTGTAACATTCTGTATCCCACATCAGTAACATAATACACTCTGTTAGTAGAAGCTACATTTCAAACTTTCACTAATAATCTCCTCATTCGGTGATGAGCCATGGACTACATCTGTCTAGTTCACCTCATTATATCAAGTGCCTTGAACAGTGCCTAGCTCTCGATGAATCAAAGAAGGGAAATGTCTACCAGTTTCTCTCTAGGCGAGAGGACAGCTAGGGAATGATCATCTTTTCATCTGGGCATGAATTGAGACTCCAAACTTAGACGATGGAAGAATCAACAAATAAGGATAGATAGATTAGTTTATCCTCAAGCCAAGCCCGGTAATTTCAATAAAGAAGAAATGAAATCCAAAATGTGTAAGGCCTAACCAAAAGTGGCAAGGTCAAGACCAGAGTCCTTAACCAATGGTACAGGTCCCTTTCATTCCACTAAGAACCTAATTATTGAGTGCAAATGACCATGTCACCCAAATTTCAGTTCCTTTCTTTTAAGTGAAATTAAATAGCTAATAACCTCATCCTTCATTCTAAGTACATACCATAAATAACCTCTGATTTTTGCCTGATTTATTAACATAAGCAAATAAAATAACATCATGTCTTATATGTAATATAAGTTGCATTCAATTTTTTGTCACTGTCATACCTGTGAAAGATACTCAGTGCTATAAATCAAATTCTTTTATCATGCAAACTTCATTAGTTTTTCAATAATGCTTGTTTATTTGTCTTAACTGACAATTACAGGAAGAAAAGTGTTTCATTCATTAGTACCTTTTAAAATATATAGTCCATAAAATTGAATACATGTTATTTCATTCCTATACACTTCCAGTAATTGACTTAATAATAACATTTGCATTTCTTTGCTGTTTTTACAGGAGCATTGTTTTAAACCCAGCTTATTTCCGAAATCATCTTCGCCAGGCAACAGTGTTTAGATGTCTGGAGAGATATTCAGAAGCTGCCCGGTATGTTTGTTATAACTTTTGTGAAGATTTATTTCGAGTTAAATTAATTTTATTCTCAGCTTCTGGTAATAGCATAACAGAACTTTCCATTTCTCTTATGGAGTATGATTTTACCAGAATTATTGTCTTATAAACGTCAAACCAACAATTATTGACTACCTTTTTCTTTCATTAAAGCCATTCTGTGTTCACAGCTCTTAGTAAAATTCAAACTTTCCAGCCATGAGGTCACTGATTATGATGGGAAAACTTCCAGGGAAGTTTAGAAATGAATTTGACCTCTTGCTCTCGAGCCTGATCTTGGTTGTAATGACACAATTCTGTGACCCTCTCTTTCTTGAGTTCTGGAAATGAAATCCAACCACATGAAAAAGACGTCAGGAGCTCTTTCTAGAGGAGATGGCATCAGTTATAACATCAAGGGTTGTTAGAGCTGTCCTAATATATTGCCTCCTAGACCCCAATATGTTTCAAAAAAACCTAGTGAAGCAGCTTTTTATATTTTCATCCCCAGAACTTATACTTAGAGCAAAAAAAAAAAAAATTGCAAGAATTGTGCAACAGCCTCAATGTTACACTAAGAATTCCTTCTCACCTATGACAACCAAGGCTTTTTTTCTTCCTGAGTCAAGCTCATCATATTGGACTTCCCTTCCCTTTGATGAATCTCTCAATGAATTTTCCTCATCTCCCAATGAATAGCTGCTGTTTCTTACTTGTCCACTTTAGTATCCCAGGAATTTAGCAAGAAAATGTGAGTGATTTCTTCACCTAACTCCAAGCACAATTCCTAAGGCCTAGGGAAATACCTGCAGTAATAGGGATGAGAAGCCTAGGTTGCAGGTAGTTACTGTCTTTAGAACCTTTGCAAATAACACTTTCTTGGAAATCGAAGTTTAAGGAATTTAAATGGATAATAAAATGGTTCCATAAAATTATTACCATGAAATCAACATGAATTCTATATAAGATGGTCCTGAGAGTTACCAAAACTGAATTAAATGATGGATATGTAAGGCAGAATTAATTCCAGCTACACTCACTTTGCAGTCAAACAACCATTATGCCACAACGTCTATTTACCTGTGTGTTAATGTGCATTTTTAAAAATTATAATGGTCTTTATGTATCAATCTCATTTTTTACATTCTATTTTTCTTTATACTTTCTCTAACGTATTCCATCTTATGTACTCACTTATGACTTCTTCCTATATTTTTTTTTCTCCACTAAGTTGTCTCTGTGACTTTCTTTCTGCCCACATGCTTTTCCCATGTGAATGAGAGGGAATTTAAGAGGTGATGGTAAGCTTCCTTCAGTCCCATACTTTTTTAAAGTCTCTAGCTACAAATGAAGCTAATAGGTCCAATGTAAACAGATACCACTATCTGTAAAACAGTGTTTTCCAAAAGGTTCTTTATTAATGTGTCTTCTGAATTTAATCAAAAAATCATTAGGAGAAGGCTAGATGCAACTTCAGAACTAGATTGCAAAAAACTGCTAGTGGGGTGCTGGGGTTGGCTTGTATAGACTCTGGAAAGCCAATTGTTAATATTCTGGTATTCGGGGAAAGCCAGTTGTTAAAATAGAGGAGAACTTAGCAATGCTGGGGGAATTTACACTATGGAAATTGGCAAATGCTACCAAACCAAGCTTTTTTGGTTCAGGGAGAGCCAGGTTGCCAGCATTATCACTGACTATAACTTAATTGTATCAAGCGTGACTGTGTGAGTTAAAGTTGTGACAAAAATTCTTTATGGGCCCTAAAACAAACAATAAGAACTTAAAAATTAGGAATTTGTCAGTATTCACCATGTAAAGTTGGAACTGAATATCCATTGTCCTTGATGTGTATATCCCTGCAGTGAAATAAGTGTATCTGCTTAATATCATATAGTGACTGACCTGACATTTCCTTGAGGAAGATCCTGATAATTGTTGGTTATGCAGGCACGGACTTTCCAACAGAGAAGCAGATACAATTAATTTCAGATACAAGAGTTTTTCACCTTGGCTTCCTTGGCAATTATAGCCCTCAATATACAGTATTAGTTATTATGGTTTCCCCAAGGGAAAGAATGAACATGAATATCATAGTGTCCCTTAGCTATTAGACTTGTAATGTAAAACAATACATGCAAATCAATATATAGAACATTCATGTTTCTCAGTTACTTTCTTGGAGATTTGGGTAGTTTGGTTCAGGCCTCTTACAAGGATATTATATTAAAACTCACCGGAAAAGCCAACACCTCAAAGTTATTTCCTCGAGAATGCCAAGTAGTCATGTTTCTGAAATTGAAAGGCACTTACAAATACAAAAGAATGCCATTACTATGTGACTTAGGAAGTCTTAAAACCATGATTTGCAGTGAAGTGAATCACCTCTTTCTGATTCACATTAGAGTATTTATAACCAGGAACTAGAAATTGGGCCATCTAAGGTTTTTGAAGCCTAACCAGCTCTACCCAGGAAGGAATACCTAGTAAATAGGTCAGAAAAGATTTCCAGGACAGCCTCATAAAAACCAGGATTCTCAACGAGAGAGACTAGAGAAAATGCTATGACTTGTAGTTGAGTGGAAGGTTATCAGTCAGCTTTACAATAATGAGCAGGTCCTTTTATTTTATGGGTCAATATTCCTTTAGTAACATCCTACCTACCAGCAGAGAGAGCAAGAATATATAGATGGTAGAAAACCGAATAAAAATAAGGATATTTTATTTTGGTTTAGGCTCACAGGGATGCTGGTCATCCTTGAGCAGACAATTGGCACTGGTTAAATTGATGAAAACACATTTTCAGACCATAAATCTAAACTGAAATTGCTATAACTCCCCAAGAAACAGCCAACTTGCGAGGTCTTACCTGAAATAGCAGGTAGCCTAGCTCTTTAACATCTCTTTGTTTCTATGCACATAAAAGTATATGTGTTGAAGTAGAATGTCTTTGCTTGAATCTATCTTCCCTCGCAGCACTCACACACACACACACACACACACACACACACACTTGGCACTACCTTCACAAGAAAGATGGTAAGATAAGAAAAAACATGTAGAGATATTAAACAAACAAAAGTAAAGACTATTCTGTGAAGAGAACTAATAATTCTTGATAATATGAATGGTATGTCTTTATTTCTGTATGCTCAATGACTTCCACAGAGTCTGGCACATACCAAGCACCAGTTCAGGGTTTGCAAATTAAACTAGCCAGTTTTGAGTTTGTGGTTAAGAACCATTTAGCTGCAGCAGTAAGGAGATATTACATGAAATTGTTAGTACAACCCTGGTTAAAAGATAAATATGAGAGTGTGCACATAGTAGTTAAGTTATGGTGATAGTATCGTGCCTCCTATAGTGAAGATCTATAAGGCAAAAAATAGATGACATCACACAGGAAATTACTTTAGTTAAGATCATACTGTGTAAGAGGAAGCAAACAGAAGGTAATACTAAAGGGGAAAGTACAACAAAAGTTTCTATCCATCATTAAGTAGGCGTTAGTTTTGTATTTCTACATATATGAACTAGATGAAGGATACTAGAGCAGTAATAACACATTCAAATGCTCACAAATCTCAGGCTGATGGTGTGTGAAGGAGGCCAATTATAAGATAAAAGGATTGGGGCGCCTGGGTGGCTCAGTCGTTAAGCATCTGCCTTCGGCTCAGGTCATGATCCCAGGGTCCTGGGATCGAGCCCCGCATCGGGCTCCCTGCTCTGCGGGAAGCCTGCTTCTCCCTCTCCCACTCCCCCTGCTTGTGTTCCTTCTCTCGCTGTGTCTCTCTCTGTCAAATAAATAAATAAAATTTTAAAAAAAATAAGATAAAAGGATTGTTGTATGAATTACAGAGAACTAGAGACCACTAACTACAATGACCATATGATTTATCTCTCAAACTTGTTCGTGAAAACGGGCGCTATTAAGAAATAACCAGGAAAATATGCATAAACCAGGACGGTTGTGACAACACTGGCCATCTGGTCAGCCTACCGTAGCCCTGCTGAAGGGAGTGGTCATATTCAAGTCCGGTTAATGTTGCTGTATACAACTGTAGGTTCAGTGTTGCAGATTTTTGAGTCTTCAAGAAATAGTATTTTTCAGAACTTGGCAAGAAGAAATGTCTTAACTTTTAAATGTCAATTATTTCAAGTTTTTCAAACAGTGCCATCTTAAAAAGCTGAAGTAGTCCCATTCATGAAAATGAAATTCACAGATGTGTTGCAACAGATCTTGTCTCTTCTACCTTTTATTTGTAATAGTATTGTTTAATACCACGTTATATATAATATTGTGAGAAATAGATTAGATAATCAACTATGGAGTCTAAAATTTTCTTATCTTTTCCCTTCTTAAGGTAACTTACAAGCAGTATGTTTCTGTTAAATCAAATCAAAACACAATACTTTAAGATGAATTAATTCATGGCTACACTCAACTGAGAAGCCAGATAAATAGTAGAGGTTAGTAGAAATGGGAGTAGGTGGGATTCTGGAGACCTGCAAAGGACCTGGGAGTTTTGTTTTGTTGTTGTTATTTTGTCATAAAAGCTGATCCTACTGGAAATTGGAAACAATGCATATATAGATCACAACTTTCCAAAAGAAAAGAGTGATCCAAAAATAAGTTTAAGTGTTTGTTCAGAAATCTAGTCACCTAACACAGTGATATTGCTATTGATAAGCAATCACTCAGGAATAGTACTACAATAGCAAGCAGCAAGAAACTGTGTCAGCTGTTTTAGTGTCATAGAACTCTATGATTTTAAATGAGATTTTTGTGTATCTTGCAAGGGAGGAGAATATTCTGACAGGTAGACTCAAGACAAGTAATTGTGGAGAGATGATAGTAGCGTTGGGAATTTAACTTAGTTCTGATTCAACTGAAAGTGTAAAATCCATTCAAACACCATGCAAGATACTAAAAATACATCACAGTTTTTTTGGTTAAAATAAGTTCTCATTTATGCCTTCAGATAGTATAAATGAAGACT